CTACCCCAGTCTCTCTCTTGCCCCATAAGATACGTCTGCCCTCTCTCTGGTTCACATATTTCACTCGACTCCTGCCACCCCATCTGTGCCAGCTTGAGGCGTTATTAGCCCTACCCTACGTCTGGGTGACTAATATGAGGCTGAAGCCTCTGAGTTAGTTATTCATGGTCAGGCCTTTGCCACATGGACCACGTCTCTTATAAAAACTACTGTCAGCCCACTAGCTCACATCGCCGCTGCGTCTATCCTGTTTCTATCTATAATACCAAGTCTATGACTTTTCATACCAAAGTCTATTGTGTGCCAACCCACAAATGTTGTGGTTCAACATTGAACCTAGTTAAAGCAAGCAGTACTACAACATTTGTGGGTTGTCATACAAGAGACTAGGGCATGGGAAGTCAGAGACTTGGAATTAGAGATAGAAACAGGATAGACGCGTCGGTGATTGGAGCTAGTAGGCTGACAGTAGGTTTTATAAGAGATGTGGTCCATGTGGCAAAGGCGTGACTATGACACTTATTCAGACGCTTTAGCCTCAAATTAGTCACCCATACGCATGGGAGGGCGAATAACGCCTCGAGTGGCACCTATAGAGTGGCAGGAGTCGAGGGAAATATGTGAACCAGGGAGAGGGCAGACGGATCTTACGGGGCAAGGGAGCGACTGTGGTAAGACCTAGGGAAGGAGGACTGCGAAACAATATGGCAGACCCTGATCCACATTCTCAGCACAAGGATGGAGGGGGGTGAGAAGGCCAGCGTGGAGTGCTGATGGTTCTTATGAAGGCCGCTCATAAGGGCACACCGCACAGCATTTAATTAAGCAAGTGAAAAATTATGACAGTGAAGGCGTGATAGGAGGATATAGGAAATGTCAATAGGCTATGGCAGAAGGGGAGATACCATAACTTTTTAGCACATGTTTGCTTAAAGGATCGACTTCACTTGTCTCTTTGACGAGTTCTAATATGGTGCTACGAATGGCGAGATTCACTGTCGATGCCGGAGAAACGTCCGGGAATGCACCACGTTCATGGTCCTCCTCTGGAAATGATGATGCATACAATGTACTCCGGACAAGGTGAGTTCCTCTAAGTCTTCCTACCAATATAACCGAGTTACGAAAACAAGGTCAAACAACTTCTAAAGAACGAAAGGAGACTGTGACCACACAAAAGACCACACCATCTTGGTCTTCACACCTTCGATTTGACTAAAGACTTCCAACGGCTGACAAATATATTTCTGGAAAATAATTAACATTTGGGCCTTATTGAGAATAATATCTCTACTGAGGAATAAATTTTAAGACCAAGACCATTTAGTCAAAGAGAGACAGACTAATTTTGCCGTCATGTTTTCTCTCAAAAAAGATAGGCGAATTAGTGAAGAAGTTGGGCATTAAAACAGTGTTTTTAATTTTCTTTTGGCTTATTGAGTCTATATAAGAGGTAAGTAAAAACATTATAGTCTTCTTGGCCTGGTGTTAACGTTTGACTTTTACAAGAATGACACCCAGCTCTGATAATGTCCATCATATAATGGACGTAAGCTCAGCACGTTTTCACCCGAAACGAGGGAGGAAGTCTCGTGGACTGCGTCAATATGAATGTCGTATACAATCCAAACGGCCGCAGTACACCGAGGTTCATCCGTCCTCATTTAGTGAGATCGACCAACGAATCTCTTCTTCATGCAACTTTTATAGGAAATGTAGGTCCCCCTAACAATGTTATTTCATGAGATTCATCGAAACCAAGTTTTTCTTTGTATTTACAATAATGCCATTTTTAGGCTAGAATATAACCCTATTTTAAAGCATTTGCTTTCGTTGTTTTAATGAAAATTTCACTCTAATATATTGATAAAGGGGTGTACTTTTTAAGTTCTTCCATATTGTTATACAAACATAGATATTCCGCATTAGATCGCCATGCACATTAAGTCATTTCCTTGGCTTTATGGTTTAGATTCTAACATGCTTTTAGAATATATGCGAATTTTATTGTAGGTGCTAGGTAAGTCCTATCTTTAAGGAAAAATATTTTTGGCATATGTTTTGTGAAATTCATTAATAATTGAGTTTTTTATAATAATCGACTACTACTTTCTTAAATATCATTAAACTTTTGGTCTTCCTTTAGTCTTGACATGTGTACTTGTACTATGCTTTATTGTGTTCTATCTTTTTTTGCTAAAGTTCGCTCTTAACTTCTCAACTCTTTGGAGCACTATAGACATCTTTTTAAAGATATGAACTTGTATGTAGCAGAGTTAGAGCTAATTAAATAGCATGTAGCTGTGCCGCTTCTTGTACATAATTTCTTTGACCGTAAAGTCTAGTTTATGATTATTTACATCCGGATGATAAAATTCTACTTTTTTATTCCATTTAGCTTCATTGGTGGGCTGTAATCATCATTTGCTTATGCACTGTAATCGCAATGATTGTTTTTGTCAAGATCTGCGCCTTCCATACTCCACCTTCTCATCTTCCCCGGCCTCCGTTGCCGACGGCTGCTGCCGTGGCTGCCAGCCTAGGTTTGAGCCCCACCATACCTATTTCGCTTGCTTCACCTCTTCCTCAACACATCGCTTTACTGACCGACTCTCGGCGACTTCGTAACCAGGAGCAACAACATCAGAGGGGTAGGCTTCGTGGCCTTCCATATCTGCACCGGCGTAACCTTACTCGGCATCAAATGAACAGCAATCGTGACCACCATAAAGAAGGACGAGTTTACTCTGGGTTAAGGGGCCATCTGCCGTCGGGCTTTGTAGAGCAGCATCAACCAGTTGCTGATACAAAACGACCAGGAGCTCGAAAGTCTAGTACACTTTCCCAGATTGAATCTTGTGGTTTACCCTCGGTTGATCAGTCTGCTACGAGCAATCATCAACAGCAGGCGTCATCTTCAGGACTTGTCTGCTTAGACTCGATTTCCTCCTGTTCGGCTTCACCCACAGAATGTCTGGCCTCCCTAGAAGAACCTATCACTCCTCGACAATCAAATAACAACTCACAGTCTCTTTCTAAAGTCACTCCTTTTCACGTTCGTGTTGCTCCTGATCGCTCAGGTCGCAGTGTTTTTCATCGCCTTCGATCTAATCAATACGGCATACGGCGACTTAGCACTTCTCAACAAACCTTTCCATCTTTGAGTATTTTACCTTCACAGGACCATAATCGAAGCCGAACTCGTAATCGAAAGCGAAGAATGCATCCAGCTGATCATTCCAAGAGGTCGGCAAGTACACCCGGCGTTAAGATCGGTATATGCTCTTCTAATGTTGCCATCGCGGCGAACAAGCTTCCCCCAGTATCTACGGCTAGTCATCTTGATGGTCCACCTTGGCACGCGCGTCCCGTGGTGTTAACGCGCGGTGCACTCTTGCTCGCTTCTGGCCGTGGGCCCCAAAGAGACAAGGCTCTCGAGGCTGAGGATGTGGACGGCTACTCTGGACACGCTCCAGAAGGTGCTTGTAGCTTAAGGGTTCATGAAACTAGCAAATGTGTTGACAGACTCTCCCTCGGACAAATTGGCGGCCGCTTGCCTCGCTCCCGAAAGAGTGGCAAAGAAGCTGGACATTTAATGATAGTTCAGATGTCATCAGCTCTTCCTAAGTCTGGTGGACCAGAGAATTGTCTGGCCGATCCGCTTAATCGACAACGAATCAGACCTCGACAGGCTAGAATTCCTCGACAGACACAACTTCCTATCTTATCGGCAGATGAAGTTGCTATCCGTGAAGATAGCGACGAAGGCGTTGGAGACGGAGTTTTAACTTCAGAGTCTAAAGCGGAGAACAACTTACGTTGGACGTCTAAATTTTCTGGGCTCAAGATCGACTTTGGAAAACGGTATCATTTATATATTATTTCTGTCCTTAAGCTGAATAATAGTTTTCATTTATGAGAAAAAGTTAACAACCACTAACTTTACAATTTACGTTCCTGTGATCAAAGAATCTTCTTTATCCATAAGTAGCACCTTTGTTTTCTCATTTGTCAAAGCGTAGAGCCATTTTTTCCACAGCTCTGAATTACAATTTCTATTTACGATGCTGGGAATACTTTTCACAGCATTTTGCTAGAAAACACGGTTATCGGTAAAATGCTTAATTTCGAAGGATCTTTGTAGGCCTCACAATGCCATTTAATTTCAATTGACTTCCTCCAAAAAGGCTTTCATATCCACAATGGAACTTGTATAAGTCTCATTAGCCCCCCTAAAGAGGTTCGATCCTGGGATGTACTGCGTCTACGTTATCACTCCATTACGCAGCCCCAGGTGTCAGGTCACAGGGCAAATGCGACAACTCAGAGCGAATCGGGCTCCACACAAATCACATTAATAATCTTTGATTAAGCAAATATCTGCTTGCCATTGTAAACGATGACGCTACTTATTTTCGATATAAATAGTTTTCGGGACTAGCCATTCTTGAATAATATATTAGTTGCGCTAGGTCTCGGGGAACACTCAAATATTGGTTCCTAATTAATCTTATTCGACCTAGAGTGATTACCTTTTTATTCAAGAATTACTACTTGTCTCAAAACTTGACGAACATATTTCCTTAAGGGTGCTGATGAGACCTACTCTTTTATGGTATTGTCCAGTCAATTCAAGTTAAATATTATGCACAAGACTTATTAGCATAGCCTCCAAACTATTTAACAGTTGACGAATTTGCTCTCATCAATGCTCGTGTTGATTCTGTTATTCATTTGGTATGAGGTTTACTTTATATTCGTGATAATTCTATCTAATTGTTCAGGAATCATCTTTTCTTGTAATAACGCGCAGTTTATGGTATGATCTTGTGGACATCGATAGTTTTATGTTTATCCCAGGTGTTACTTCGGATCCAGATGGGACTTAAGGTCAGATCCCAGTTAATTCTCATCAAGGGTCGAACCCAAACAGATTTCTAAAAAGATGCGTACTTTTTGCGTCATTGCATCTTCATTTTTACTTTTTCAATTAGCTCATCAAATAAAGTCGGCCATTCACTTTCATCTGGTATCAGCCGTGCCGCCTGTGCACTTGCCGAGCATCAGGCATTGATCCTTGCTAAGCAAAAACAGCAACAACAACAAAAATATATCTCGAAAAAAACCGTCTCGTCTCAAAATGCGTCTATTGTATCTACAATCAGCCGAGAACCTCGTAAAACACCATCTCATGTACGGCCGGTCAGTTTTTACATTCCATCTTCGGCCGCCTTTATGTTGACTTCTGCAGAGGGTCAGTCTCTTGCTCCAAATAACTCTGATACTTCGCTTAATCATGACTCTCTCCTTCGAAAATCTCTGCCTACTCCACAAGCTGGCTCTGCGACAGTTAACGATGCTGTAGCTATAATAACTGATGGATCCGAATTTCCCAGGCCTCCCCCACCTGTCCATCCAGGTTGCCCGACTAGAGCACCACGATCTACTTGTGGAAGAAATGATTTAGTACACAGACAATGTTGAAAGGCTAAGGTAATATGCTCAGTTTGTCGTTTCTGTTTATTAGAATTGGCATTCTTTAATTCATATTTAACCTAAGAATTGAACTCATTCTTTTCTAGTAATTGGCGTCCTCTTATAGATATCTTCTCACTATTTATTCATTTATCGTCGTATCGTTTTTGCTCTATTATATTTTAAAAAATCTCTGCGTTGCCTCATCCCATTAAATCGTCTTATGCACCTTTTTACAACTAATTATACATCAAACAAAATTCGGTTTCACTATTTTTCTAACAAAACACATGTAATGTTGTATTTTCGATATAGGTAGTTTTCTAGGGTTAGGCAATTCATAAATTAGAACTTAGTCACTAGATCGCTTTAAGTGCTATGGGGACTGAATTAATTTTTCACACTGAGATGGATAGGCTTGTGGATGCGATTGGGTTTCACTTAACTTTGAAGATGTGAAGACCAAGATGTTGTGGCCTCGGGTATGGTCGCAGTCAGATGCTAGGAATCAAGACAACTACTATGGCAGACGACTTCGGACTCGGTGCGTTCTAAATAGTCTC